GGGTGGTAAAACTATAGACACAGGTGAACTCATAGACAGTAACAGGATATTAACTTAGAAGATAACCTGGGTACACAGAATAAAGCACTTCATTAGGGATAAAATGTGAGGAATTAGCTTAATGTTCTCACATACGCTCAAGAAAACATATCCAAGGTAGCTCCCAGAGCAAGAATACATTTGATATTAAATGTAGAAGTTTTTACAATATAGATTCAAGTTACGTATTGCCACTTCGCCCTGACAGCCTTGGCTAGTACAGAAGGGAGAAGTGGGTCTTTATTAAAACCCATATGAGGGGCACCTGGATGGCTCAGTCACTTAAGCAACTGACTTCAGCTCAGGTTATGATCTCAGGGCTCCTGAGTTCGAGCCTCACACTGGGCTCTGTGCTAACAGCTCAGAGCCCAGAGTCCATTTCAGATTCGGTCTCCCTTTCTCTCTGCCCCTCCCAGGGTCATGCTCTGTCTCTCTCTCCTTCAATAAACAAACAAACAAACACACGCTAAAAATAAATAAAAACCCAACCCATTTAAAAGGATCTTCATACACCAATATTTTTTTTCCCCTGTAAGGTGATCCTAACTTTATAAGGATACACTATACTCATCTCGTATCTTTACTTACTATAAAAACCACAAGATGGAAAACAAAGACCAACCCCGCAAAAGACAAAGTAGCAAAACCAACAAGGTAAAAGGGAAAAAAGTACATTGCTTGATCTTGCAGGCTTAAAGCAGGGGTGACCACCATGCCTGTAACAAACTACACTCTTCCTTGGAGTAACAAAGCCCTTCACTTCTAATTACATTTTTTCTATAGTGAAGTTAAAAAAGCAGTCACGGTCTAAAAGACAAGGACCAAATTCTAAGTAGCTTAATAGGGAGTTAATATGGGCTTTTGGCAAAGATTATGGATAATATAAATACTTTCTTAGAAGAATAAAATAAACAATGAACTGAACAGCTATTACAGGCATATCCTGTAATAACTGAAAGGCTTCAGAGACATTCTTAGAGATTCTAAGAAATGAGTTAGATTTTGCAGTGGACCAGTCTCCACACACATTAATTTTCCATTTAAGACTTCCCTTTCCCTCTCTATTAACTGAACTCCAGCTGAACTTCATTGGTATAGTCTCTTATTTCCCTGGATCCTGAAGCTCTGGCCTCAACAAAGAGATACAATTTTATTTAAAAAAAATTTTTTTTAACAATTATTTTTGAGAGACAGAGTGAGACAAAGCACGAATGGAGGAGAGGCAGAGAGAGGAGACACAGAATCTGAAGCAGGCTCCAGGCTCTGAGCAAACGTTCAGCACAGAGCCTGATGCGGGGCTCAAACACACGAACTGTGAGATCATGACCTGAGCCAAAGTCGGACCCTTAACCGACTGAGCCTCAGAGATACAATTTTAAACTGCCCTTTATGAGCTGATCCTCTGCTACCTATCTTAGGTATCTTAGCTCCTACAACTCCCCCCTCAGCCCCTCCTCACCCTGGCCAACTCTGCTCCAGCACCACTGGCCTCCTTGCTTTCTGCGAACATGACAGGAATGCTCCAGCCTTAAGTCCTCTGCATTCAGTTCCCTTTTCTTAGACCACTGCTTTTCCCCATACAGCAGTCTGGTTTGCTCCCTTACTTCCTGCAAGTCTTCAGATCAGATGCCATTCTCAGTGAGGCCCTCTCTGATCAACCTACATAAAACAGCAACTCCACTCCAACAACAGTCTCCACCCCCTTTACCTGCTTTTTTCTCCATAGCACTTGTCACCATTTGATACACTGTTTTATCTGACTGTGTTCTGTCTGTAAAAGGAGGCTTCATCTTTATGTTGTCCACTACTGTATGCCAGTAGTTAGGACAGTGCTTGGCACTGGTTAATTTTTGTTGAATAAATGATATCTTGCGAAGCACATGAAAAGTCACAGCAGTCAGTGACTGATAAGAGCTGACAATAATCCAGAAATGCTGATGTATCTGCTTAATTAGGACTATTATAATTCAGCCTGTTTTAAAATAGTCTTCTCTCACATTTAAGTATCTACTAGTTCATATCTTAAAGAAATCAGTAGATGATTAACTAGGAAATTCAGATCACTGTTTAGGGTAAACCGTAGCTGACTGTTACCCAAGTTGTGGCAATTCATAAAAGTTCCAGATTCGGTATAGTATCTAAGAGGAACTATGAACTGCCCCTCTACTACTAAATAATGCACCATAGTAAACTTTAATTTACTCTTTATTTTACTTCTTTCTGTTATTCATTCTATGGTTTCTGCACCAAGACCCAAATGGACCATGATTTACTGGCTGCCTGGTATTAAAAGAAACTAACTCCCAAGAAAGTTATGCCACCATCACAATAACAAAAGCAGGGGCACCTGGGTGGCTCAGTTGGTTGAGCTTCCAACTTCGGCTCAGGTCATGATCTCAGGGTTCGTGGGTTTGAGCCCTGCATTGGGCTCTGTGCTGACAGCTAGCTCAGATCCTGGAGTCTGCTTTGGATTCTGTGTCTCCCTCTCTCTATGACCCTCCCCTGCTCTCTCTCTCTCTCAGAAAGAAAGAAAACATTAAAAAATTTAAAAAAAAGTAATAAAAGCAAAAGTTGTTTTTCTACATATTCACATTCAATTCTCCAGGTTGCCCTCTGGAAACATTTTCTCTCCCTTTAAGGTGAGAAGTGAGAAGAATGGAGAACAGAAAGTATGAGGAAAGCAAAGAAAATGGGAAAAACTTTAAAAGACTCAATTTCCCTGAATCCCAAGCGAGCAGTTCAGGCATTAGTTTTTGATTAATCAAATTCAAAGCATAGGGAAGCTGTATTTTCTGCGCCCAGTACATACGTTATGCAAAAAGCCTCATGTATTCAACAACAACAACAAAAGTCTAAGCACGCAACAGAGTAACACCTGTGTAGTGAAGACAACCGCCGACTTGCTTGCACTGGTGTCTAGCCACCGCAGGCTGTCTCCCCGTGTTTGTCACACTAACACTCGGGGCCCTTAGGTGTCAGATAAGGCCAGATCAGAACATCCTCTCAAACTATTCCTTAGCAGAAATCTGATGTTTCATTGTTAAAACTAAAATCATGAGGGGCGCCTGGGGGGCTGAGTCAGGTAATCATCCGACTTTGGCTCAGGTCAGGATCTCACAGTTCCTGAGTTTGAGCCCCGTGTCGGGCTCTGTGCTGACAGCTCAGAGCTCGGAGTCTGTTTCAGATTCTGTGTCTCCCTGTCTCTCCACTCCTCCCCTGCTCATGCTCTCTCCCTCTCCTTCAAAACAATAAATAAACATTTAAAAGAATTTTTTTAAATGAAACTGAACACATGTGATTCTGCTCCTACTCCCAAAGGCCCCAAGATTCAAGGCGAGGAAAATGTTAGTGAACAAAATTAATTTAAAAATTTCTTCTATATTTTTTTCTTACATTGTTGACATCTGCCAATACTTGTCACCTCCTAAGCATTAACAGATGATAAATCATGTGGTATTTGTTACATGTATTACCTCATTTAACCCTCACAAACTCAGAAGAGGTACCCAACACACTTCTTTTTACAGACTAAGGTTTATAGAGACAATAAAACCTGGGCAAGATTCTGAAATAATGGTGGTCTAGCTTTGAACTTAAATCCTCTGATTTAATCAACACGCCACACTCTTTTTAAACAGCAATACAGGAGTACATAGTAAGAGAATTCCTTAGTTTCTTTCTTGGTGGATGTGTGCTCTTGGCGGATTTCTGTAAGGTAAGCACCTTTCCCTGTTTTTAACTAGCAAGATTACCCTTGGTTTTTATGGTGGCAATGCCAGGATCCCCAGGATCGCAACCATCCAAATGAACAGCCAGCCACCGATCTACGCCTCTGAGAGCTCTCCGGGGAGTTTTCCAGCACTCCTCTTTCATGAGGGAAATACCCTTGCAGCCAGCTCAAAATCTAACGTAACGACGTGCATCTGTTTACTGGTGACCTCGTGAGTACGGAGGAGACACAGCTTGCTTTCCCTGCCGTTTGAAAGAAGGCAAACCAACGCATGACCCGTACAGCAGAGCTCAGACTGCGACTCATCAGATCTCCCACTCACCGCTTTGTTCCTTCCCTTCTGAGGGCCCTTTACAGGTGCAGTTTGAGGGTCAAAACGAGTCACTGAGACTAGGGGTCCCTCCCGGTCATTGTGCCCAAGAGACGGCCGCACCGACCCAGGTGTACATCCCTACTCGACGGTACTAAGGACCAAATCGTGAAGAGTCCTTAGACACTGGAGAGGTCCACCAGGCCGACGACTAAAGGAGTTGGGGCGGAGGGCAGCAGGGGCTTTCCAGAAGTCGCCCGGCCACATTCCCGCTGTGCCACCCTCCTTCGCTCCGTGGCTCCGCGAACGCTCCCGGGCTGGGGTGGGGGAGGGCTTCCCGTCCCTTCCCTCGAGCCGTCGGGACCTCGGCTCCCGCCAGGGCGCGGCCTCGGCGGCCCGGCCGAGGGCACTCACCGTCGTTCTCGTCGCTGTGCCGCCGCCGCGACATGCCGCACGCCGAGGCGCTGCTTAACCGAGAAGCCGGGCGGGAAGAGCGGCAGGAACTGTCCGACCGCCGGCCGGTGTGAGGACTGCAAGGAGGCGCGCGCAGAGGCCGGTGCGCAGGCGCACTCGCTCGAGACGGGTCCCGGAAGCGCAGGCAGGAGAGGCTGCGGAGTGGGCCTGGCTGGCTCGGGTGCTAGAGAGCGGGTGTCTGGGACCGCACCAGGCCGAAGGCGTCCGGTCTGCACGCAACCGCCCCCTCGAGCTTCCTCCGCCTCTCGGCGGCTTCCTTCTCCCGCCTTTCGCTAGAAGTCCTTCCGGGGCCACGCGGAAAGCACCGCCTCTTTAGCCAGCTTGAGGCCACCGGCCGTGAGCCAAGCCTAGCGGCGGCCGGTCCACAACACACCCTGGAATCCCCGCCTTAACTTCAGACCCTCCCTGGAGCCTCGCAGTCTTTCTTCCCGGCGGCCCTTTCGCTAACAGCCTCGAAGACTTCCGGGGCGAGGGCAGGTCTCCAGTGTGCCTTCCTCCGTAACCTCTAGGAGGGGGGCTCGTGAAGGTTTTTGGGACGGTGCGCAGTGACGATTCCTAGGCGGAGACGGTTCTATAAAGAAAGATCTAAGAAAGAACTAGGACTGGCGGGTGCGTGCTCTCTTTTCTCCCACTTCCGGGCCTTTGCCTCGTCGGGAAAGCTGGGAGAAGCGATTGGCCTGGCCCGGCGCCCAGGGTGGGGCCGGGTGGGGGGCGGCGCCGCGCTTGTGGTCCCTGGGACTGGAAGACCTGTCAGAGCCCGAGCCCTTCTGCCGCGGGGTTACCCTCGGGCGGTCATCTTACCCCTCGCCCTTCTCGGTTGTCTTTTAGGAAGGAACAGGTGATTGCTCCAGTCATTTCTTCAGTGGTTATTGTGTACCCATATACGTGTATGTATCCCCTGCCCTGACGTCTCCGATGAGTACCGCACCTACTCATCTATCTGACTGCCATATTTCACTCTTAGGTCCTAACCCATGCCTCTGGGTTAACCATTTCAATGAATGGCACCTTCCGTCTGATTGCTTAATTCAAAAATGTAGGTAGGAGTCATTCTTGGGTCCTCCTTTTCTTTCACTTCCTACGTAACAAGTCTGTCTGTAAACCTTGCCACCTCTACTTTGAAGACACATCCAGAATCAGACCACGTTACTCCTTTGTTTACAACTCTCCAGTTACTTTGCATTGCAAACTCTATACCCGGACCTACAGAGTTGTGCTCTCTAATCACTATACTCCATCCATTCTGACTTTTTTCCTGTTTCTCTAATAAGACAAGCTTGTTCCCACTTTAGGAATTTATACTGTTTCCTTTGCCTGAAGATCTCTGTTCCTAAATCTGCATGATGGTCCTTGTTATTTAGGTCTCAGCTCAAATATCAGGTCCTTAGAGAAGCCTTCCCTGGCTACCAATCACTGTTTTATTTCGTTCAACAAATAAATTGTGTTTACTGATAGTTAGCATCTCCTGTAGGCCAGGCAGTGTTCTACATGCCAATTATGCATAAGTGTACAAAGGAAAACCCTTGCTTTCTTGGTGCTAGTGATCCATTCTGGAATGAACAAACAGTACAATCAGAGGAGTGATCAAAGGGATTATAGTAGATGAGATGAGAGGCGGTGAGAGGGGCTTCCGAGGGACTTTGGACTTTGTTAGAGTATGTTGAGAAGCCTTTGGACTACTGTTTAGTAACCTTTCTGCGGTGGAGGGCAGTTTGGCTACTGCAGTAATTCAGTCAAGAAATGATGGTGGCTTGGGGCACCTGTGTGGCTCAGATTAAGTGTTGGACTTCAACTCAAGTCATGATCTCATAGTTCGTGAGTTCAAGCCCTGCATCGGGCTCTGTGCTGACAGCTCGGAGCCTGGAACCTGCTTCAGATTCTGTGTCTTCCACACTGTCTGCCCCTTCCCTGCTTGCACTCTGTCTCTCTCTCAAAAAAGAAATCAACGTTAAGAAATTAAAAAAAAAAAAAATTATGGTGGCTTGAATGGGACTGGTAGTATGTCTGTTTGGACAAGATTTGGCCACAGGAGTGATTTTTATATTTTGTATTTCTTCTGTTTATTAAAATGGGGCTTTCCGGGTTGTTACTTCGTCTAAGGAACAGAATTTGGACAGGCTCTAAAATTAGAGGACAAAAAAAGACAAATTGTTTATAATTGAAGTCTAGCACACAGTTTGGTTGATTTTGGTTGTAGCTGGTGCTTTTCAGGCATAATTTACCTTAAATGTTTGCAGGGTTTACCCCCTAATTTAGGTGTCTGCTCAAATGCTACTGGCTCAGAAAGACTTTACCTATTCATTGTTTTAAAGAGCCCCTCCATCACTCCCAACTCCTTACCCTGTTTTTTGTCTTCGTGACCCTTTTCCTATCTGACTTTTTTAAAGGGGAGTTGGAGGGAGAGGCAGAAGAAGAGGGAGAGAGAGAATCTTAAGCAGGCTCCGTGCTCAGCACAGAGCCTGATGGGGGGCTCTGTCTCATAACCCTGAGATCATGGCTTGAGCCAAAATCAAGAGTTGGATGCTTAACCAATCTAGGCGCCTCTCCTACGTGACTTTTTAAATTTAATCGATATATTTGTTTGTTTACTTTCTGTCTCTCCCTACTGGAATGTAAACTCCAAGAAGGCAGAGACTTTCTTTCACTGCTCTATTCCTATTGTCTAGAACAGTGCCTGGCATAGAGTAGGTGCTAAATAAATATTTATTGAATGAGTGACTGAATGGATCGATGGCCTGGGTTGCTGGGCCCATGCTCATTTGCCTGATTGATTAGCTTCAAGTTTACCTCAAATAGTAACCAAAGACTGACATTGTTGTTTCTGCCTTGCTTCCTAGGAAACCGTTAACTAAAAGGAATCTGTCACTACTGCAACCAAACCAGATGCCTTCTTTCACTTCACCAGACCAAGAAGACGACCTGGAGGCCTGTGTTTTAAGATTTTCAGACCTAGATTTAAAAGATACAAGGCTTATCAATCCCAGTAGCAGTCTCAAAGCAGAGTTGGATGTCAGTACAAAAAAGAAATACTCATTTGCCAAGAAAAAGGTAAAACTGCCTCATTGCTGTTTATGCTTCAGGGTCATGAATATAGAGTTAGTTCAGATGCATCCACTAGTAGCTCCAGGGAACAGAGGCCTAGTGAGACAGAAGGCTGCTGCCATGCTCAAGGCAAGGTCTAGTTAGGGTCGTTAACTAGTGATCTTAAGTCAGTGCCAGACAAAGAAGAATCATAGGCAAGGTGTGACTGTGGAATACTTATGGCTGAGTACTCAAGGACAGATCCTAGACAGATGGGCCGCATTCCTTTTCCTACCTAGAGTTAGGGGAAGAATCACAGGCTCCCAGGAGACCCTGTCATATGGAGAACAGACAGGCAGTAGGGCAGCTGCCACCTAAGACTCCTGAACTGATCTAGCTGGCTGGGTTCTTCTGGTTAGGAGAAGGGACAGAACAGCCCAGAATGGTTGTGCAAGCTTACTAAGGACAGTTGGGATTGGATTATAATGGGAGGTAATATTGATATGCTGCTCTTCTATGCCATTTATCCTTTTCTTCAGAGATCATTGACTCAAACCTCCTGTTGAAGGACAGAGGAAGGAAAACGACCTGAGGACATGCAACTGAGGCTTAGTTTTCTTACCTCCAGTCTGCTGTCCTTCTTCTGCAGTTAGCTTTTGTTGGCTTCATGTCAATGAAGAGTAGATGTCTCTGCCTATAACTTCTTATCCACCACCCCTCTATTCTCATCTCACACAGATGTCCTTGAAAATGAAACCCAAAGGGTACAGAAAGTTTTTTTCAAATATTATCTTGCAGTAATTTCAGGCTTAGAGGAAAGTTGCCAGCAGTGTACCGAGGACCCTCATATCCCCTTTGCACACAAGCTCTATTTATGTTTCATCGCTTGTACCAAATGGCTTTTATTGATCCACTCCAGGGTGTTGCACTGAGTTGTCCTGTCTTCTATCTTCTTCAGCCTAGAACACTTTCTCATTTTTCCCCTGAAATCATGACCATGACATTTTTAAAGATTACATGAATTATTTTGTAGAATATCCCTTTGTTTGATCTTCACTCATGTTTCCTTTTCCTTATGATTAGATTGAGGTTAGTGCTTTTATTGCCACAGCTATCCCACAAGAGATGCTGTGTTCATTGGCGACTTTCTATCAGGTGGCTCACAATGGCCATTTGTCCCATTACTGGTGGTGTTAACTTTGGCTACTTGAGTAAGAGAATGACTGTCAGATTTCTCTGTTATAAAATTATTCTTTTTTCCATTTTAAGAAATCAGTATTTGGGGGAGAGGGGAAATTCTTTGAGACTGTGTAAATATCCTATTCCTTATCCAACTGGCATCTACTAGTTTTAGATTCTTTGGTGTTTCTTTGCTTAGTTAATTCTTGCTGTGAATGCTGCTAATGGGTGATTTTCTGATTACTCCATTCCTTCTAGATTTACTACTTGGCATTTTGCTGTAAGGAAGAGCCGCCTTTTCTCCCAATTTATTTGTATCCGTGTGGACTGTAGGTTTACATTTTATTTGTTGGGTTATAGTCCATTATGTCATGATGTATTGCAATGCTCAGATCATCTCAGATTTGGCTGGGCGCCCTTTCAAGCTAGTATCTATGTCCTTCTGACTTGCTCCCATCATTCTTTGAGCATTTCCTTACTTTCTGATTCAACAAGATGTTCCAGGCTCATCTTGTATTTTCCCTGCCCCACCCCTGGAATCAGACATTTCTTCAGGGAGATCTGGTTGCTTCTAATGAAAAACCACAACCTGGAGGCTCAGCAGGCTCATTGCTACTAAATGTTGCTTCTCCCAGGAGCTTTGGTGTATGAAGCTAGAAAAATAGGTTGATGAGTACATAAACATCTACATGTAGCATACATATACTTCTATATTTACTACCATCTCAGTATTACTCATACTGTGAGCTCATACTGGCATTTCACTTTCATTCCAGCATCACAAGAATTTTTCTGAACTCTCCCTTTTCCATATTTATAACTTTCCTATTTGATGAGGTTTGGTGAGAAACTTGGCTCTGATTACTCCCAATGTATTTCCTTATTTGCATATTCTCTTGTATGTAAATAGTATCCCCTCCTCCCCCGCCCCCCCGCCCCCCCCAAGCTGGGCCTTCCAGGGCCTGCCTTCCTGTAGGCTTCACCCACCTGGGAGCTGAGCTGCCATCCGGGCTCTGGCCTGCCTCTCCCTCTTGAGCAGACCCCACAAGGGCGCTAACTGCTGCTGGGTCCTCAATGCCTTGTTCACGAGGCCTTATAAGACCAGATAAGATTTGAAAATCAAAGTTTAATACAAAGAAGCACACATGTTGACCTACATGCTATCTCCTTTTTTTTTTTTCTTTTTCCTCCCCTCTCCTCCCCTCTCCTCCCGTCTCCTCCCCTCTCCTCCCCTCTCCTCTCCTCTCCTCTCCTCTTCTTTTTTTTTTTTCCTGTCTGGAAGGATTCACTGCAAGAGAGGCTAAAAATGCCCTGCAGTGTAATTTCAGGCTACCCTTCCTGGTGCTTCAGTCTGAGATAGCCCAGATACAGCTGTGTTCAGCTAGAGAGTGACCCCACAGTGGTGCTTCATAGCTGTTATCGATGTTCAGAGTGCGTGTTTTTGGATGCTTTATAGTAGTCTCCAAATGCATTACACACACACACACACACACACACACACACACACACCCCACACGTATATATAAATATCTCCCTTCCCATTAGACCAGGAGGGAACAGTTGTTGAGAGGCTGATAATCATAGATCCCATTTAGCCTCTATTGCACATCAAAAATGCCACAGAACTGAAGAACAAATGACAAGCTAGGAAACAAATTTGTGATAACTGTGATCCGACAAAAGGTCACTAAAACTGCTTACAAAACAGGAAGAAAATACATGCCACAGTAGAGAAACAGGCAATAGATGGAAATAGGCGGGGTCCCTGGGTGGGTGGCTCAGTCAGTTAAGTGAGGTCATGATCCCACTGTCCATGGGTTCAAGTCCCTCATGGGGCTCTGTTTTATCCCAGATAATTATTTAAATTAGATGTTTAAAGAGGTGTAAAAAGATGTATGCGTGGAATGCTCACTCAGCCTTGCTTATTTGCATCACCCGCTTGCCCTAATTGCAGATCTTGGAAACAAATGTCCATTAGTTAGGAATTGGTTAAGAGAATTATGGCATACCCATAGTTTTCTGTTTAATATTCTTAATAAATATAAATCATTTTTATGAAAACAACAAAATTATTTTCCTAAAACCAAATCAAAACATTTTGGTATATTTCTTTCCAGTCTTTCTCGGTGTGATTTTTAAATGTTGAGATTACACTGTATAAGCAAATTTTATCCATTGTTTTTCATTTAACATTGTATCATAAATATTTTCTCATATAACTTAAAACAAGCTGCTCAATATTCCATAGTTAAGTGTAATTGCCTTGACCAATTTCTTTTTTTTTTCTTTTTTTTTTTAATTTCTGAGAGAGAGAGAGAGACAGTGTGAGCAGGGGAGGGTCAGAGAGAGAGAGATACACACACACAGAATCTGAAACAGTCTCCAGGCTCTGAGCTGGCTGTCAGCACAGAGCCTGATGCGGGGCTGGAACCCACAAACTGTGAGATCATGACCTGAGCCGAAGCCAGAGGTTTAACCAACTGAGCCACCCAGGCGCCCCTACCGCTCTCTTTTTAGCTATGAATTATAATGTTGTTTGTAATGTTTTACTAATATTCATCTGAAATTCAAGTCCTTTCCTTAAGAACAGTCCCTTACAAATCTTAGATTGAAGGATACATTTTACAATGAAAACTAACTCTCTCAAGAAGTTCTTCTAAAGAAAACTGGGACATACAACTAGATACCCATGTGGAAGGATAATGTCAGGGATTCACTGAGACTTCTGCCAGCCTTACACCTAAGGCTAATAGTGGCATATTTGAAATGTAATTGCAGGCATTTGCCCTTTTTGTCAAAACCAAAGAAGTTCCAGCACATCCTTTTGAATGTAAAGAAAAATGGTGGAAATGTTGTCAACAGCTGTTCAGAGACCGGATCGGCATCCATAGACACGTGGCAACACAGCATGCTGACGAGATCTGCCACCAGACTGCTTCCCTGTTAAAGCAGCTGGCTGTGACATTGAACACCTCAAAGAGCCTTAAGTCCGAGGACAATAGGAACCCTCTAAAAGAGTACTTGACCTGCAACTGGGAAGGGTCCGCTTGGCTCCCGGATATAAGCTGCTTTAGCCCTGATGAGCTAATGAGGTAAGAATTTCAGTCTGTACTTTCGGTTTAATTTTACCAGTTTTTCCAGCCACAATGAGATACCACTACCTATGACTAAAATGGCAAGATCCTTAAGCACAGGATTTCTCTATGGGTCTAAGCCAGGCTGATAACCACATAGTCTGGAATATAGAGGCTGTGATATATACCCATGTAGCTGGCAGCGTTCACTAGGTTTCGTGGAAGGCTACATCTCACCTTCTCTAAGGAGAGGTGATGAACAGAAAATTGTATTAGTATTTTCTAAGATAAGTTGGAAAGCTCAGAAATGTTAATGATTACCCTGAATAATAGCAGAGCCTAGAAAGCATATTTTGTTACCAAATGTGTTTTTCTGAGTTGAACGTGTTTTAGAAAGGATGTTAACTTAAAAAAATTTTAATGTTTATTTATTTTTGAGAGAGAGAGAGAGGACACCCAGGAGTGGTGGAGGGGTAGAGAGAAAGGGGGACACAGAATTGGAAGCAGGCTCCAGGGCTCGAACTCATGAACTCATGAACTCTGAGAGCATGACCTGAGCCGAAGTCAGATTCTCAACCACTGAGCCACCCAGGCACCCCAGAAAGGATGTTAACTTTTCAAACTGAGGCACAGGATTAGAAGTTTAGATCCTGCCTTTGAAAAACTCACCAAATTCTATTACAGAATTCTAGAGGACAAATTTCTGATTTTAAGCAATTCCTGAACTATTTGGTGAATAGAAAATATCCAAATGTATTATACTTTTGTCATTACTATTCAGTGCCAAATACCTCTTGTTTATCAAGAAAAGGAGAATGGTAGAGAATTGAACTTGAGCTCGGAATTGAGCTAGTCACTAAAATTCTTTATATTTCTTTACCTCTAACATAGTACTTATGATGCCTGTCCTGTTTACCTCACAGTGTTGCTGTATGGATTATATACAATGATGACGGTAAGAGCTGAACTATAAAGTGGCATACAGATATGGTCTCTTTGCTTCTGTATGGCCCTGTGCCTCAAGGAATTGGCTCTCTAGTGAGAAAAACAAGAAAAGGATACATGAAACAATTAGAGGATATGAGATAGGCTACATAATTATCAGTTCAATTGTGTGGTGGAGATAATTTGTTACACTAGTTTAGAGGAAGAAAAATAGGTTCTTAAATAGACAGGGTTTCAGAGGAGAGTAGGCCCTGACGTATGATGCGGGATTTGACGAGGGTGTCAGATTCCAGAGCTGGACGGGACCTTCATTATCATCTACCACAGCGTTCTCTAAATCTGTTCTATGCAACACCGGCCCTGAAGGATGCTAACGGGTATTGAAAAGAGGTGCTAAAGACAAACACGTTTGGGAAGCACTAGGTTAAAAATGTTCTTTATTGCAGGACCTTTCAGAGCCTTCAGTAGATAAGTGGCTTCCACTGAGAATCTCAGAGAGATGGTCTGCGAGGTTTCTCCAACATGTGATTTCATAGAACAGCTTCAGGGCACACTTTGGGAAATGCAGTTTATTTCACTTCTGCAGTTTTAGAGGTGAGGAAATCAATCTCAGAGATGATAAGAGACCCTCCCAGGGCCCACGACTAGTTAGGCTGAGACAGCAGAGTGCAGTAGAAAGGGTATGGATTCTAGTGTCAGAAGACTGTTGCTCGAGGCTTGACTGTCACTCTGTAACTTTCTCACCTGGGAGGAATTGGCCTTGGTTTACTCTGTAAAGTGGGGATAATAATAGTCCTTCTCATGGTTAAGGGATTACATGAAAAACTGGAAGTGAAACCTCTCTGTACGATGAGAGATTCAAACACAGATATGACCTTGTCTTCGAGGATAAGCCAGAAATGTCTGTAAAATGGGTTATTGGTTCCTGTCTCGTAGATCTGATGCTTAAATGAGGAAATGAAAGTAAGCTCACTTTTTGTAAAGGCAGTTGGGTGCAGATACTGTCCTCTTCAGAGCAGATACTGAGAGGAGCTGCTGAGTCTCTCGGCACAGCAGCTGTAGACAGTAGGCGTGTGTTGGTCCGTCGCGGCCCACCTTCTGATGCCGCCTGGGTGTGCCTTGTGAGCTGTGGCTGCCTTACGTCTGTGACTCAGGTGCTTCCCCCTGTGGGTTTCTTCTCTAGGGGCCAGGGCAGTGACGACGGAGAGGTTCTACTGTACTACTGCTACCGAGACCTGGAGGACCCCCCCCGGGTCTGCGCCTGGCAGACGGCGCTGTGCCAACACCTGCGCCTCACGGGCAAGGTAACACCTCTCGCCTCACGTCCCGCGTGGGGCTCCTCTGGCCTCCAGTGTGCACTACAGAGCTGGTGCTCAGAAGGTTTCACTGTCAGGTTCTGCGAAATCCTGCTGGGCGTTTAAGCAGACTGCTAACCAGTTATTAACATGCGTTCTATGACTATTTAATGGCGTAGACTAAGAATCAGCAGGCTTTTCCTTAGAAAGCAAACTGGTAAGTATTTTAGGCTTTGCACAAGAACTACTCACTCCTGCTCCTATTAGACCCTAAAATTGTGTGTGGAACTGTGAAGAAATTATAACAGGATACAGTTGGATCAGCTATGCAATATTTCTTTTCAGTCGTCTGGCCACTGTATATTGTTTAAAAACTAAAGTTTAAATCTTTATGATCTTTCCTCCTAGATAGGCCATTCCTTGCTAGAAAATTCCTATAGTCTGTACTCAAGAAGTGCTTAAAGTTGAATTTGTTAATTTTTAAGTCCATATGTGTTTTCTAAACAAAGAAACCAATGAGGAAACACCACCTACTCAACCGTGCCACTGTAACATGAAAACAACCTTACACAGCAGGTACAAGATGCGTATGGCTGTGTTCCAATAAAACTGTATGCAGAAGCAGGTACAATTTACTGACCCCTCACATTAGGGAATGTTCTTAATATGTTAGCTGGAAAAAAATTTCACAGAACTATACATAGAGAGAGGTATGATTCCAAGTTGCTTCCTCATTTTCCTAGAGCATGCCGTTACCGTTTTATGGTATTGACATTTGCTGCTCCCTTCCCTCCGGGATGCTTTCCCCCTAGATCTTCCCTTGGCTCACTCCCCACTGAAGATCTCTGCACACATCTCACCTCCTCAGAACTCTGATCCAAAGTAGTCTTTTCTCTCAGCCTTGTCATTTACTGTGCCTTCTGCTCAGGCAATTTCAAAGAATTTGTTACTATCTGAATGTATAATCCCTGTTTAATTTGTTACAATCTGTCTCCCTAATAAAAGCTTCATGAGGACAGGAACTTTGTCTAAATTGATGTATTCTTAGTGCTAGACCAGGGCTTGGCACATAGCAGAACAGTCAATATTTGGGGAGTGTTGAATAAAGAAATGAATATATGTTTGTAATAGAACCGCAAGTGTTTGTGTATGAAGATGGAAGGTAGTAGATACCCAAATGTTAATCATGATTATGTCTGCATGATAAGATTGTGGATGGTTTTTGTTACTTTTCTGCAGTGTTCTTGATGATTACACGTATACACACCTATACAGAGACTTACATATGCATATGTGTGTGTGCATACACATATATGTGTATAAAACTAGAGACAGACAGTTAATATTTTTTTATATATCTTTTGAATATATATGTATTTATTTTTGAGAGAGAGTGCAAGCAGGGAAGCAGCAGAGAGGGGGGACAGAAGATCTGGAGCAGGCTCTATGCTAATAGGAATGAGCCGAATGTGGGGCTCGAACTCACAAACCATGAGAGATCATGACCTGAGCTGAAGTCAGAGGCTCAACCGACAGAGCCACCCAGGTTCCGCAACAGATAATGTGTTTTTAAAAACTCAAAAGGAAGTGAACTGAATTCCCTCTGAGACCCCCTCGGGTTATGACTTTGTACTATCTTCAAACTAATCTTCCCCACACATGTTTTTAAGTCCCCGAGGCAGTCGTTTGATCAGTGATATTTTCCACACCAATGTTTTCTAACAGATGGTGCCAAAAGCTTCCTTTACCTCATTCAGTTCATTGTCACATCCTGCCATTTCTGCCTCTAAAATATCCCTTGTGTCCATTCCCTTCTGTCCTCCTCTTCCACCACCTTAGACCATGCCCCACCCTCTCTTGTCCATTTCAGGAAATTTTTTTAATTTTAATTTTTTAAAAAAATGTGTATCTAATTTATTTTGAGACACAGAGAGAGAGAGAGAGAGAGAGAGAGAGAGAGATAAAGCACCAGCAAGGGACGGGCAGAGAGACAGGGAGAGAGGGAATCCTAAGCAGGCTCTGCACTGTCAACTCAGAGCCCTACTTGGGCTCCATCTCACAAACCTTGAGATCACGACCTGAGCCTAAGTCAAGAGTCTGACGCTTAACATACTGAGCCACCCAAGTGCCACTAGGTAGCCTTTAATCTATTCTTGTTCTTCTGTCCTTGCCTGCCATTTAATCCATTCTCCACACTGCAGCCTGAATCATCTTAAAAAGTAAATAAAACACCCCTGTGCCTTCCTTATAATCTCTCACTGGCTCTCCTCATAATCTCTCAGTGGCTATCTAGTGCATTTCTAGTAAAACCCAAATCCTTGACGTACCGTTAGGTTCCTGCATGATTTAGCCCCTTCCTACCTTTTCTGCCTATCTGATGTCATTCTTCACTTGTTATACTCCAGCAACATGGTCTTTCAGGTTTTTTTTTTTTGAGCCCACAAAAGTTTTTTTGTGTCTTTGGGTCTTTTTCCAGGCAAACTGTCTTCAAGGAAGTCTCCCACACTGACTCAGTTTCTCTTGTAAAATTTTTACTAAATCTTCAGTTCTCAGTTTCAATGATACTTCCTCAAAGAGACTTCTTGACCTTTCAACCTAAATTAATTTTTCCCAGTACACCCTTGCATAGTGTCTTGTAGTTATTTTTCATAGTACTTGTCAGTTTGTAATTTTTATCTTAATATCTGTGACCGGCTTTAGTCTGTAAGCTTGAAGACGGCAAGAACTCTTTAACTGTTAGATCCCTAATTCCTAGCACAGTTCCTGGCACGTAGTAAAAACTTTAGAAAATATTTGTGGAATGACTACGTTTATTGTCACCTCTGTTTAGAGAACACCTTGAAAGATGGATGTTCTCACAGTGAACCTGAATGTACAAAATATGAAGTCAATGTCTTTTCTTGTTTGGGGGGGCAGAGTTTTATTCTTGGCCCAGCCTGAGGTGAAGGAGCAGTGAGGGTCCCTATCCACAAGGTGGCAGCACCTGCCTGGATCTTAGACTAAATCTTTAGGCTTCAGTGATACCTGCCCAGTTTACTGAGGTAGTTTTCTGCTTTTGGGAGATTTGGCAGAGTACGAACATTCAGGTAGGGAAAGAAGAGAACTTGAAAATTCCAAAAAGAAACTTCTGGTTCCTATTGCTATAAACTCCTTATTGCCTCAAGAAATTTGAAGCGACGGGGCACCTGTGTGGCTCAGTCTAAGGTTAAGCGTCCGACTTCAGCTCAGGTCATGATCTTACAGTTTGTGCATTCGAGCTCCGCGTCAGGCTCTGTGCTGACAGCTAGCTCAGAGCCTGGAGCCTGTTTCAGATTCTGTATCTCCCCCTCTCTCTGACCCTCCTCTGCTCACGCTCTCTCTCTCTCAGAAATAAATAAAACATTTAAAAAATTTAAAAAAAAAAAAGAAATTTGAAGGGACACAGTGGAGGCTTTGGAAGGGAAAAACTACATGATTTGGAACGAATATTATCTGGTTTTGAATCTCAGATCTACCACCTACCGACTCTGTGCCCTTGGGCAGATTACTTGATATCTCTGAGCTTCTGTCTCCTTTTCTATCAAATGGGGATTATGGTATCTACCTTTCAGGATTATAATACAAAGCTCTTATGTCATAGTAGGTGCTCAATAAATACTAACTATTGCTCTTTATCCCTGAGGTATAAGGGTTTCCTCACCAAGGAGCTACTTCAAAGGTTTCCCTGGAAGGATCTTAGGGATTGAAAAGTCTAGTGCATGAGTTTGGATTGCTCAACAGATTGCTCTGCCCCAGCTTTATAGGGTTTAGGTGTCCTTGTCTTTTATTTGGGTTATGAGATTAAAACAACATAGGAAAGAATCTACCAGCTGACCCTAAAGACAGTTACGTAGAAGTACGTACTTTATCTGCCACGGTGAGAACCAGTTTTAGATTAAATTTCGTGACACTTGAACTGGTTCAGCTCTTTTTCTATGTAGACCCTTGAAAAAAATATAAGTTGATTGTGGGGAATGTAGTCTGTACAGCAGAGATGGCATCTCCTTTCTACTTTCCTTTCCCATGCCCAGAGTAGGCTTTATCAGATGGTAATCCTCTCTCTCAAGGATCCAGAACCCTCATCATGGAACTCTGGCATTGGCTTAGGAAATGAATCCCATTTATTATATACATGAATCAAGGGAGGTAACAGAGTATTTACTCTGGGCTCTGAAAAAGGGCAGCCTTGTAAATTTTTCAAATTCTAATGCATTGGTAGGTATCATTGTTCTCTAAATGGTGCTATTGGATCTAGGACCTTGAATTAAATGACCTCTCTCTCCCTAGAGTACCATGATACTAGAGCGGTCTACTTTCCCTGTAGCACTTTTCTCCAGAGAGCTCAGCTCCTTCTAAAGATGATCCATCTTTAAACTCATCGAAAGGGTTTTGTAGTTGCAAGACAATGAACTCGGCAGGGTGCCCAGAGCATTGCCTCTTAAGGCAGGGGCCTGAATCCAGATTCTAATGTTCCCTAACCAGTGAAGCATTTTAAAGAGAATACAGTGTTTGAGAATCTCAGCCAAAAGGCCTCAGATGTGGATACACATTGATTTGTTCAACAAATGTGGATTGAGTCCCTACTTGGCCGGCGCTGCAGCCGGGAACAAAGCAGACGCACCCCGCCTGTGGACCGCGCGTTCCAGCGGGTGGGTGTGCAGGGGTGTGCGGGGGTGTGCTCACATGCACGCCCGGCTCTCAGCTGTGCTTTGTATTTTGGGACTTGGGAAATGTCTCCTCAGCAGTTCTCTTCATTGTTGGTTCTCTCTTCGCTCTGTTTTATCAAGATGAAGAAACTGAGGTTCAGAGAAGTAAGGTAATTTTCTCAAGGCCACAAAGCAAGTAAGTGGCAAAGATGAGTCTTGATCCTAGATCTGCTGACCTGGATTTAGGTTAAGCTTGAAATTTACTTCTTTGAGCATTGTACAACTGGAGCTTTGTAGCAAATGGGGCTTTCCAGAAGTTTCCCTCATTGTATTCTCTTGTTCAGTGCACATCTATTGAGTACCTCATCTAAACTGTGGGCAGTGTCATTTTAGAAAACTACAAGTATCTTTGTGTGGTAACACTTCTGTTGTGTCTCTGCTTTCCCTGTCAAACTCATTGACACACACCAGCCTGTTCTGCCCTGGGAAGATTTAAACTAAGCTAAGAACAGGCTGCATTCCCTTTCTCTCACCATCTTGTGTCCCAGGTTCGAATTGCTACAGAAGGAATCAATGGGACACTTGGTGGAAGCAAACTGGCCACCAGACTCTATGTGGAAGCCATGCTTTCCTGCCCATTGTTTAAGGATTATATGTGTAAGGATGATTTTAAGGTAAGAGAAATCGAAAATAAAATGGATTTTGAGCCATTTGCTTCTGCCTCAGTGCCTCTTCCCTCTTTAGGCTCTGAAGCAGAGATCGGTGTAGAGGAATAAGCAGCCTTTGCCCATTAGGCTGCAAGGCAGTGCAGTCAAAGGAGCATGCTCATTCCATTTCTTTATGTCACCGTGCAATCCTGGGCAAGTTAATGCCCTTAATCTCCCTTATCGAATAAGGGCATTATGGTTTGCACAGTCTAACTCTAAAACTTAGATGTGTTTGCTCACTTGAGGGACCACCTGGCTATTTCGGGGCATCACTACTTTTTAGTAAACCTGGGATTACAAGATGAGCACTTCATACCACGTGGGGGACAAAGCCCTTGCTCTTGTGGCTGGGTCCTTTGTTTGAGCGACCTTATGCTTTGTCACAGTAAGTGAAAAATCTGGTGGGGACTACCTTACTAGTGTTAGTGCCGGTGATGGTGGAGGAAGAGAGGTCGCTCCTCCAGAGCAAAGCTAGGATGTAACCTTACATGCTCAAATTGCTCGGTGGTGGTTCAGTTTTATAGTTAAATGCTTATAGCCATAGAAACACCTTTTCAGTTGAACATTTCCGTTCATGGTAGGTATGCAATAAATATTTATTAGAATTGAATTATCTGAAACATTTTAGGTTCTAATTCCCTTCTCATTAAAACATTAATTCTTACTTTGAATTTTCTTAAGACTTCAGCTGTTATTACAAAACAGATACAATTCTTGAACTTGGCATTTGCCTTAGATCTGGAGATGGGAGAGTAAGACTGTATTCTGTTTTGTTTCTTCTTGGCTAGACCAGCAAAGGAGGGGCTTGCTGTTTTCCAGAATTGCGTGTTGGTGTATTTGAAGAAATTGTGCCTATGGGGATCAGTCCCAATAAGATCTCCTACAAGAAGCCTGGTATGCTTGCTTTTAGAAGAAAAAGTTTGCTTTTCTTCACAGGGACAAAACTTAATATAGAAACAAATGTGGAAGTTAGACACCCTGATCAGCAATCCACTCTTTAAAATAGCTTTGGGGGTATGGAATGTAAGAAACAAAACAAAGAAAGAAGAGACAAAAAAGCAGACTCCGATATAGAGAACAAATTGGTGGCTGCCAGAGGGAGGGTGGGTAGGGGGTTGGATGAAATAGATAAAGGGGATTAAGAGTACACTTAACTTGATGAGCACTAAGAAATGTGTAGAATTATTGAATCACTATATTGTACACCTGAAGCTAATATGACCTTGCATGTTAATTATGCTTCAAAAAAAATAGCTGTAGTGTAGCCAGCATGTGGGTCATTCAGTGCTTAAAGTGGTCTTCTCTTTGGTGCTATGATAATTGAAGACATACCCATTAGAATGCCCCATCTTAGTCTTCTTGATGATGGTCTGGCAAGAAGTTATTTTCTCTTTCCAGAGAAAGCAATCTGGGAAGAGTGTAATTATTACTTGTAAATAACTCATCAACTGAATAACAGGCCTTTTGCTTCAGGAAGCAAGTGGCTTTCAAATCCAAAGCAGTTTGTTTGCAGCTGCTCTAGAATGTTCTCTTCCCTTCTTCCCCATGGTTACCATAAACTGTTGAAAGACATTTTTTTGTTGTTGTTGTTTGTTTTGCCTTCTACTATGAAAATGATCAAACATCTTAAAAAGTAGAGAAAATAGTATACTGAACTCGCATGTACCTGTCATACGGTTTCAGCAGTTACTGATTCATTGCCAGCTTTCTTCTATACCCTGTCCCCTTCCCCCACTTTGGATTATTTTGAAGAGAATCCCAATGTCACATCATTTCATTTACAAATATTTTAGTAGAGACCTCTAAAATATTAAAAAAAAATTAGTAACTGTAAAACCATTATTACATCTAAATAAAATATTTTTATAGTAATTCCTTAATATTATCGAGTATCTGGCTAGTTCTTAAAATCGGCTAGACCAGCAAAGGAGGGGATTGCTGTTTTCCAGAACTGCATGTTGGTATATTTGAAGAAACTGTACCTGTGGGGATCTCATAATTTTTTTTTTTTTTTTACAAATAGTTTATTGTCAAGTTGGTTTCCATATAACACCCAGTGCTCATCCCCACAAGTGCCCTCCTCCATGCCCATCTCCCCCCACCCCCCCCCACACCCATCAGTCCTCAGTTTGTTCTCAGCATTCAAGAGTCTCTCATGGTTTGCCTCTCTCCCTTTCCCCTACCACTTCTCCCCTTCTTCTCCCCCATGATCCTCCGTTAAGTTCCTCCCAATCCTTCTATATGTGCAAACATATGATATTTGTCCTTTTCTGCATGACTTATTTCGCTCAGCATAACACCCTCAAGGTCCATCCATGTTGCTACACAAGGCCAGATTTCATTTTTTCTCATTGCCATGTAGTATTCCATTGTATAGATAAACCACATCTTCTTGGGGGATCTCATAATTTTTTAAGTTAATTTCTCTTAAGAGTCAAGTAAGGTTCACCCATCTTGGTGGATCCCTTTAAGTGTCTTTTAACTTGCACATTTGCCTCCATCTTTGTTTTTTCCCCCCATGCAGTTTATTTTTTTGGAGGAACTAGGTCATTTTGTCTGTAGTTCCCACCATCTGGTTAAAGCTGATTGTATCTCCTCTGTCCTGTGTGTTTCCTATAGATTGGTAGTTAGAGCAGTGCCGCCTGATAGAACTTATGTGAAGCACTTATATAATTTTGTGTTTTTTTTAGTTGCCACATTTTAAAAGTAAAAGGAAACAAATGAAATTCATAATAAGTAGGTTTTAATGCAGTGTAGCCAAAATATTTCAATGTGCAATCATTGTAAAAAATTACTAATTTTACCTTTTTTTGCTTTCTAAATACTTGAAATCCTAGATCTGTGTCACCCTTATCATAGCACATCTCAGGCTACATTTCAAGGCCCCGCTCTCCCCGTGTGGCTAGTGGCTACTCTGTTACATACCTCAGATCTAGAGGCTTGGTCAGATTCAGATTTGATTTCTTTTTTTCCTTCTTTCCTTTTCTTCCCCCCAAGACTGCCTGATAGGTAGCATTGTTCTCTTTCATCAGGAAGCACAAAGGTCTGATTGTCTGTGTTCGCTTAATAATATGGGGATATTTAAAAGAATGCTAAGGGTGAAGTCAGAGGGAAATAGGAGTCGGATACGAGCATGGGGGGAAAGAGACTCATGCATGAAGGGCCCAAAAAGGCTGCATCTGCCTGGTGTCCCTACCTTAGTGGGATGAATAAGGAGCTCACTTTTGGTGCTACAGGATGTTGCTTGGGAGGTTAGGGGAAAGTGGGCTCTAGGCAGTGCTGTGCTGCTTTCATTTGGGCCACGCTGTTTGAAGGCACCTCTTTTAAACATGTCCATCTGAGTCCCTGTCCCATCAGGCCTCCACAGGCCCAGTAGAGCAGCAGCAGGGAGCAGGCTTGGGTCTCTGTGGTGCCCTGTAAGTAGACATCTTAGCAGATTTCCAGCTTCCCGTCACAGTTGGGAACCTCCCTTTCACCCCCGTTTTGGGGACCTGTTATTACTTGATAATAACCAATCAATTCTGGCCTGTTACATTCTCATAGTCGTAGGTCGGCAGGTAGGAATCCAGATTCCTTGGCCATGCACGGGGGCCTCTAGCCCCACCTGAGTACTTAGCAGTTTCAGGTGGTTGTTGGGGTTCACCCTTAGCAGAATGAGGCTCCTTTGGTGCCTATGATGTGTAGTGATTGCCATCCCAGGCCCCTGTCTGTAAGGTGTGGTTAGTCCACGCTGCCAAATTCACCCCAAGTTCCTCACAGTCCACTGAAATACCTGGACCCAAGATACAGGAGTCTTTCTATTCTGGAGAGTCGAGAAGGCAAAGGGCCCCACTAGACTGAGGTTCTCTCTTTTTATAGTCTCCTTGGATTTTACTTACTTTCTTCCCCTCCTTTCTCTCCTGCATGCTTTGGCTTCTCGCTCCTTTCTGTCTCCTGCACTGCTCTCTTAGGTAGCACTCCTGCTGTCAGCCCCTCCCACCCTCTCTCTTTTACTCATGCACAGACTTACATTCTTCTTACCCTTTTGTATTTTTAAAGAATAGTCCAACTTTATTCCACAAATTGATACTCTTAGCTGCCTATCAAGATTCTTACCCTTGAACTTGGCCTCGCCTTTGTCATAGTCAAAAGCCTATAGTCAAGCACATACATGCCCAGGCTCCTCCACATACAGTGAAAATAGAACACTGGGCATATAATGGGCCAGCAAACCCACATGGCAGTTTAGATCCCAGCTGTCTGGCTTTTATCACTGGGTTAGAGCAAGAGAATGGAAAATTTGACTAATCATTTCTAAACCTCCAGGTCTCTATACCACTTATCTTTGGAGGAGGGAAAAATGAGGATATCTGGAGTTACTATTTCATCATGGTCATCAAATAGTGTTATTTTCAGATATAATTGCAGTTATGAATAAAGGTTTGGGTGGAAGGAAATGGAGTAACATGTAAGTTATCAGGCTGGGCCAGTTGTGATTGGGTTTTGTTTTTTGTTTTTGTCTTAAGTAAATTTTTGGTTTGGTTTTAGGAGTCCATTTATCTCCACGTGAATTTCATAAAGAAGTAGAAAAGTTTTTGTCTCAGACAAATGAAGAACAAAGTGATACTGTCCTCCTGGACTGCAGAAACTTCTATGAAAGCAAAATAGTAAGTAGAGCCAGAACTGAGTTCGGTGAAATGGTAGGTCTCCCCCTGCCCACATCAGGGCATGTTTCCTGAGGTGCTGCTCTGTGTGCCTGCCCCTGCACAAGTCACCTAGAGCTCTCCCGACTGCTAGCAGCCTCAGAGAAAACCCAAGCCTTTGAACTCAGGATCTGGTGAGAAAGTCTAAGAAAATAGGAATTAAAAGACATCTTGGCACATAACGTACTCTTTGGCTCCCATGTGCCTACCCTTGATATGTGTCAAAGATCCTATAAAGTTTGCTCTGGGCAGCCCTTCCGGTTCCGCTGAGGACTCTGGCAAGGTGACCAGCAGGCCACCAGGCTTGTTTCTGAGTTTCGGATTGTGAAGTTGAAAGGTCAGAGTGTAGGATGAGAAACAGCAGCTAGTAAGTGCTACCCAAAGGGGCTGTGAGTGGGACTGACACAGAAAGAGCCTTTGTTCCTGCCAGGTGTGTTTTTCTGATAATTTTCCTTCTGATTCTCCTATGTTGTAGGGGCGATTCCAGGGCTGTTTAGCCCCAGACATCAGGAAATTCAGTTACTTCCCTAGTTACATTGACAAAAATCTAGAGCTTTTCAGAGAGAAGAAGGTGCTAATGTACTGCACTGGGGGCATCCGTTGTGAGCGGGGTTCAGCCTACCTCAAAGCCAAGGTGAGTGAACACCTGTGGGGTCACTGCAGGTGTGGAGGTGAAGAAGGTTCTACTGACAGCAAGCATTGAGCCTTCCACTCCCCACCTTCATTCCCTCTCACACTCCCAGCCAGCCAGGGATTTATTTTTCCCTTGTATGGTTCCAGAATAGAGTTTGTAAGTACAAAATCTGAAGTTCTTAAATCTCAAGATGTGGAAAGCACTTAACAGTCTTAGACACTCATCAAGTACAAAAGAGAAAGATTAGTGAACATCTCCCTTTTTCTAATCCTTATGCTTGATCCTGAGAAGAGCAAATTCACATTACATGTCCCAACAGGTGTCCTTCTATATTTAGGGGACAGCAAAAATAGCTGGGCTTCCCAGGATCTAGCGCAAGGCTCTGACTGCTGTCATCACCTGCCACTCTTCTGTGGAGCCTCTTACTTGTCTCTGCCTGTCTCCTCAAATTTCTTCTTGTTTTTGCTCACAAAGGGAGTATGCAAGGAAGTGTTCCAGCTCAAGGGCGGCATCCACAAGTACCTGGAGGAGTTTCCTGATGGTTTCTACAAAGGGAAGTTGTTTGTTTTCGATGAGCGTTATGCCTTATCCTACAACAGTGATGTAGTGTCAGGTAGGTGGGCACTGGCTGGAACCTAACCTTCTACTCAGGCACACTCTCTGTATGAAGCATTCTGGAAGGCAGGCCAGCACTGGTTACGTGAAGAAGAAAACAGGGAGAAGAAGGCATGTAGTATGACTATTTCCCAGCAGAGTTGGAGATGCAGCAGTGGAGCAGACAGCCCTGGACCAGGAATCAGGAGGCCTGTGCTGCCTGGGCTTCCCGTTCCTGGTTAGGCAAGTCCTTTACATGGGGCATGTTGCCCCTTGCTCTGCCTCCGTGCTAGGGGTTGAACTAATAGGCCAAACTGAGGGCCTTAACCAGAAGTTGATATATAAAATTTAGGGGTTCTGTGAATTTGGATGGGAAAATAATTATATCTTTATTTTCACAACCCTGCACTACACGTAGCACTTCCTTCGATTGTTAATGTAGGCAACAAATCAGTAACATCAGAAAGCACAATATTTTCATATATTCCAGTGGCCGCTAACATCTCCAAATAGTATTTATGTTTGTCATGGTCTCAAAACAGAGGTATTAGGCCCCCACTGTCTTATTTCATGTGTTAATATCTTACTATATCACAGATCTTTAAAAACGTTTTGGTAGTTTACATTTCTATATAATTTGTTCCCTTGTAATCCTATGTATTTAAAGAAGCCCCACTTTAGATGGTCTATAGACACAAGTGGTAGATAGGTGAGGTGCTTTTGAGTGGTGGGTGAGACATTCCGAGGTAGGAGTTGAACCCATGGCCAAGGCGGGGGTGGCCACAGGAGGTGTGAGCTCAAGAAGCCTGTGGTTTGACTGCAGTTTTGAGTCCTCACTGATGTATGTTACCCAATGCGGACAGTCCGTAAGAGGAGGATGGAAATAATCCTTAAGAAAAATGGCTTTTTCCCCCGCATGCCATAATTTTGAACTGGAGAAGTCAGAGGCAGACAACCCTAGTGGCTGTTGTAATTTTCTAGAACTCCTGTGATCAGGGACTGAGATTGAATTACCATTCAGATAGTGATTAAGATTTGAGTGTTACTGTCCTCTCCCCTTTCTTCTTGATCTTTTTATTAATTTTAGCGGTCTTAGATTTGTGTCTCTTATTGAAAATACTTGAGATCTGTGTTGGAGCTAGATGGAGTATAAATTATAAGTAAGTAGAAACAATGGATTTGAAGAATGCTACTGAGGAAATGTTGGCAGGATTTGATGGGTACTTGCATGTGAGTGTGAAGGCAAGAGAGAAGGCCCAAAGTGCCTTCAACTAGTTAAGGACACTTGAACAGTGATGTTGTCCACAGTAACAGGAAGTCGGCAGGGAAGAACAGGCTGAGAAAATAGATAATGGGAGTTTTAGGAATCAGGTGGTCAGATGTCGCTGGCACCAGCAGGACCTCAGGCCTGGGGGGAGGGGCGCGGACATAGAGGTGGGAAGAAGCATCTGTACCCACGTGTGTTGTTTCCCGTGATAAAAGGAATGACCTAAAAAGGGGAAAGACCACTGAATCAAGGGGTAGTTGGCCAGCTTTGGAATAGTTAAAGAGAGAAACAATGTTACCTGTTTTCTAAATGGGAAAAATTAAAAAATGAGTCACTGAATGCTGGAATTGGGAAGACAATTCCCAGGTGAACCTCCCCTGTCCCCCCAAAAAGAGTGAGGGTGAAGGAGTATTTTTTGGTAGAGGACAGGAAACTTATAAAACCTTCCCAGGCCCAACAGGATATATTAGCTGATGTGCTAAGAGTTATGTTTAGGAATTGGAGAAGTGCCTGTCTACATGTGTACACACACATCGGTGTGTGTGTGTTTATAGCTAGGGCTTTTCTGTCTTCCCCAGAATGTTCATACTGTGGAGCCCCGTGGGACCAGTATAAACTCTGCTCAACTTCCCAGTGCCGCCAGCTCATCTTGACCTGCCCTGCTTGCCAGCGACAAGGATTCACAGCCTGTTGTGTCACGTGTCAAGACAAAGGGAGCGGGCTGGCTTCAGGTCCCACCCAGAGCAGCTTTAAAGAGGAATGTGAGTGTACAGCCCGACGGCCCCGCATACCCAGCGAACTGCCATAGCAGGTGCGACTCCCCGCGAGCCCAGAGCCAAGGCCTGACATTGACAAGGATGGGCTGTGCTTACGTGAGTGGCACCATCAGCATCCCCCTAGGCCTTCACAGAGCTAGCTCCACAGTGACCATACACTGGAGAACATCAGAGCTGAGGCAACAGAGAAACGGGGAATGCCAGCATCATAAACTGGGTACCATGTCTGCCACCTAAACTTCAGTGGGGGGAAGAGGGGGGGAATGGGTTCTCCTCACTTACCTGAAACATTTGACTCACGATGCCAGAGGGACGCCTGGGTGGCTCAGTTAAGTGTCAGACTTCAGCTTAGGTCATGATCTTGAGGTCTGTGGGTTTGAGCCCTGTGTTGGGCTTATGCTGACAGCTCAGAGCCTGGAGCCTGCTTCAGATTCTGTGTCTCCTTCTCTCTCTCTGCCCTCTTACCCGCTCACTCTCTGTCTGTCTCGCTTTCAAAAATAAACATTAAAAAGAAAAAAAGAAAAAAGATGCCAGACCACAGAAAAAAGCACTGGGCAGGATCCCAGAGCTGCTGGGGGAGACCAGAGCCTGGGGACCAGGTTCATGCCCTCTCTGTGCCATGCAGCAGGCTGGTAGTAGTCACTGGCCTTGTCAGCAGACTTGTCCATCCTGGCGGCAGAAGCAGGAAAGCTATATAGCCCTGGAGGTGGACATCTCGGAAGTGGCCTCTCAGGTCACTTACCGTCCACCACCTCTGCCCTCATCTCTCTGGAGCCTAAGAGGCTAAGTCGGGATCTGCAGAATATGGCATTTGACTTGCCTCCTGCCTTTGTAAATAAAGTTTTATTGGAATAGCCACACCCATTCATTTATTCATGATCTATGGCAGATTTAAGGAGTTACAACAGAGACCTTGGGGTGTGCAAAGCTGAAAATATTTTCCATCTGGCCCTTTGGAGAAAAAAACTGCCCTTCCCTGGTCTAAACCAACAGCTCATCTGATGAAGCAGATGGTCATAAAGATGTGGCCCACCTTCATTGTTTTATTGCCTTGGTTTCTGTGAGAGAGCTCCCCCTAATATAGTCTCTGCTTCCCCCAACGCCCACATGCCTAGCTTTGAAGGATTCAAATTAGCTCGAGGGCACGGACATTTGGGTAGTTTTTAGATGAACACCTTGGGACAGAAGACACATTTTGGGTGAGGTCATTCAGCAGTGCTGTGGTACGTTCCCAGCCTTCTGGCCAACATGTCAAGCGCGTGTCCCTGTCACCCTAGTCGCAAGAAATACATACGCAGCTGTCCATAGACCAACAGATTTAATCTTATATTGCAGTTTCCAGTGATGCGGAATACAGCTGCAGTTTGTGTTTCAAGGAGAAGCCTGGTGGGGAGGGCCTCCCTGCAGCAGGGTGCCACTCCTGGGCCCACCTGCGGCCTCAGTAGATGCTCTCCCATAGTGGTGAGGTCCTGGCTCCACCTCTGGTTACCCTGTACCATCCACGTCATCACAGTTCAGCGTGCAAGACTTTGCCTTTTTCGTCAAAAGCCTCTGCTCAGTGCTCTGCAGCTTAGTCTGTGCTCGTCAGCCCTGTGGGCTGTCCTTTATCTTAAGATTTGCTGAATCACTCATGAAAATAACTCCCAAGCAACAGAAATGCTAGTTTAACTGGCACTGTGGTATATTAAAAGGCACAAGGGCATTGTGGCTTAACATTTTTGCTGGATCCCAAGAGATGCACATGATGTGAAAAAGGGATCTGGCAGAAACACCAATATTACATTTGCAGAATAATCACCTTGGGATGGTTTGGCCAGGGTTTCCTAAGTCTTTAATATCTGGATTTTCTTCACCATTGGCCTTCAGAGGCTTAACTTGCAGGCATGAGATCAGTGGTGACTTGTCTAATAAGTGATGTGACACATGGTTGAAGTCTGTAAGCATGGCTGCAATGGACTAGAAATGTATTGTTTTACCTCCCAGAAGCCATTGGCCCACTGTGCAATACAGAAAGGTGTTTTCAAGTATTTGGCCATAGGTTTTCACATCGTTAAGGCTGACATTCAGTAAGGAAGAAATTATTTCTGATTCCAATATTAAATTGGAAGTAAAGCCCAGATGTTCCTAAAGAATGCTCAGGGAGCACTTTGCCACCTGGGATTGGTTAAGAAAGGATGGCTTTTGAAACGTGAAATTTCACCATTGGCTTTTCAGTCATTTCCTTGTATCCAGCAAAAGGAATCTCCCGTTCTTTGAATCATGGCAGAGCTCTGTGGCTTCAGTCGCTCTTTCATGGGGGGCAAAATTGTGCTCCTGGCCCAGTAATCAGTTTGGCAACTTTAATCTTGAGGTTCTTAACATTTTAAGGAGGATTGATAATGATGATCTAAATACCCAAGATCAAATTCGTAATAAAGTATTTTATAATGCTTCTCCACCATGCGGAAGAGCGTGCTCTTTGTGCATGTGTTACACATTCTAAACACACCTGAAACACCAGGCAGCAAGGCTCCTGACATTGGGCTCCCAGGCTTAAGTCCCATGCTAGAATGTCTTCAGTAAGATCTGTTGGTTTGGGGTCTTCTTAGTTTTTAAATAATAACCAGACTGAACTTCTGTGACTAAAGAAAAACTTCACATTAACCATAGTTTATAAAATTTTCAACTACAACCACTAGTTAACCTAAAAACCTTAGTGCATAAAGAACTGAACCACGGAAGGGTTTTGTGCTGGCATTTTGCCTTCTGGTTTCCACTGCAGAGCACAGATTATCAGTAGAACATGTGCAGTTCAAAGACATGGTCGTCCCCTCCACACATTAGACACCACTTCGGACCTTGGGGATGATGGGCCCAGTCAGGTCTGCGAGCCTCCTCTTCCTCACTAGAAAGGAAGGAGAGGAGATGTAAGCCAGTTGACTCTGCGTCAGGAACCACTTCCATGGCTCTGAGACAGCCCTGTGAAGCTTCCTGCTAACTTTTTGGTTAGCAAAGTCTGAAGTCTGTTTCTAGAGGACAGTTGTGTGGGAGTTGTGTAAGGGCCCTCCCACTGGTCAGCGCTCACCGATGAGGGTCTGTGGTCGTGTTGACTCGTTCATAAATTACTTCTGAGCTGCTGACCACACAGACATAAAACCCACTTTGTCCGCCGCCACAGTTTTTGCTTTGTACACAAGGGGCCCTGCAGTTGAAGCTCTTTCCTCTGGCTCAGATAAGAGCTAAAGTTCAGTTGATCTTACTGAGAGTAGGGTCTTAACCTGCTGGAACCAATTCCCACAGCTCTTTCTCAGAGCTCTTGGCCCGCCTCCTGCCTTGGAAGAAAGTTTCCACCCTGAAGATTACCCCGCAGTATCTGTGTCCCCTTAGTGTTAACCTTGACATTTTCCCAGGGGCAAGACGACTGAAGCTCAAATACTGTTCACATAACAAAGTAGGTAAATGCCATAAAGAGGAAGGCACTGGCAGGCTCAAGTCATTACTTCTAGGATGACTGGGGAGGGGGAAGGAGGCCCTTTGTTGTAACAAGGGAGAGTGTTTTGAAATGAATTACAGCGCCTGCAGATGAAGAAGCAGCAGCAGCAAGCTAGATCAGCCACAAGAGAAAGGTCAAAGAAGTCTGTAGAACCGGTAGGTGGCAGTCAAGGGGGCTGCTGGTGTGGCCGGGACAGGTAGCTATTGCAGAAGAGGGAAAACGGCTGTCTATACTTAGAGGTCTCCCAGTTCCCAAGCTGAGTCGGTAGACCCGCAGCCACCAGATCGATGCATACGAGCTGCAACAAGAACCGAATCAGCTTGTGCAGGGTACTGAGCACATAAAGCAGCGCCACCCAGGAAGGAGCGGTACTCAGGTTGTGGCTGGGAGCAGGGGCGCACAGATCACCCAGGCCAGGGCCTAGAGTTCAGCCTGTGCCTGAGCTCCTTCTCCCCTCCCCTCCCCCGCCCCGTCAGAAGAATAATGAATGCAAGTGGGTGGGCCAGGTCCTGGAGATGACCAGAATGTCTGACAGCTCAGAGAGGTCAGGGAACAAAACCCAAAGAGCGGAAAAATTTTGTCCAAAGTGACCAGAGGGTTTACATGAACAGACTTTTAAGTGTCACGTTAGCAAGCATGCCCGGCAGGCCAGTCCTCATGACAGCTCTTTTACACTCAGCCCCTCGCTGAGCTCCACCACCAGCTCTGGAATGCGGGCCTTGTCAGCGTTCCCATGTTGCAGGTAAGGGAAGTGTGGCAGAGGGGCTGCGTTTCTTGCTCGAAGCAGTAAAGCTGATACCAGACAGAAGCAAGGCGTGTGGCTCACCTGGAGCCTCAGTCCCAATACCTCCCGCAGTGCAATCTGAGTCCATCTACATAGATTTTACACATCTGGTTCTCTCAAGGACATTAGCTCCTTTTCCCTGGAGAAGAAAAGGGAGCTAGGGTCCCTAAGAGCTATTGGCAGAATGAGGACAGGAACTCGAGTCTCCAGCCCATGGCTCAGGGAACAGACAGGGATCCCAGGTTTCTTTCTCCCCCATGTGCCCTCGTCCTGTACCCTGGGCCGGGTCGGTGCAGCTGCTCTAGCTAGCACTCGCTCTTACGGGGACTGGATGGGGAGAAGGGCAAGGCAGCCACTGACTCAAGTATTATTTTCCTCCATTTTAATGATGAAGGAAGTTGAGGCCAAGAGATGGAAATAACTTGGCCCAAGTCACGGTGGATAAGTGACAAAACTGGAAATAGAAGCCAAGTCTCCCCGTATCTTCCTTCAATTCAGTCTGCTTTTTACTTCCTTTAAAGCAAAATCCTTATCACTGTGACTGTCAGACTCATTTACTGTCCAAGCCAGGAAGAATCCCAAGTCTTCTGGATCAACCTCTGTCCGCTGCTGTAACTCCTGCCACCACTTCCTGCCAAGCTTGAACACCTCCATCCTGTCTTTGAGAAGCATTTTAAATTCAGTTATATATTCAATAGCATTTACTGGGTGCTATTATATGCCAAGCACAAGGATCAGAAATAAAGATCTAGCTTAACAGCGCACCAAGCTATACCAATAGTAAGTCTGATGAAATGTTATAGGTACTGTGGTAGCTCTCTAGCAACTATGAGGCAGAATGAACAATGTGGTCAGAAGGATGGCAGGGAACGTGTCCACTGGACCCTGAAGGTGAAGGGATAGTGGGAAGGGAAAGATTAGGAGGAAAGGCCCTCTGCAGGCACACTCAAGCTACCTGGACCGGTTGGTACTAACACAGAGCAAGAAGATGGCTTGTCACGGGTGTTGAGAGAGAAGTCCAGTGGGGCCCCTCACCGAGAGGTGAGGTGGGGGACACAGGCTCAGAGATCAGACCGCAGCCCAAACCCTTCTCCCATCCAATGACTACAG